TTTTTTTTTTTTTCTTCGTCAATCTAGATAGATAAAGGTTGATTTTTTTTTTTTTTTTTGAGGAACAAACTTTAATTTTCATTCATTTTTCTCTATTGTTCTTCTATTTTATGTATTTCCTTCCCTTCTCTTATTTTGGGTTCAGTATGTTTTTCTTCTACTTTCTAAAGTTAGGTATTACTTTGCGATATTTATTCCACCACCTGCTTTTTTCCCCTTAACTAGAAGATATATGTATCAAGAGAGAAAAAGAGAAAGAGAAAAGGAGAGAGAGAAAGCACCCGACAGGATGTGGCCAACACAACCCTTTCTGTTGAATCCTCCTCGTCAGGACTCTGGGCACACATATCTGGCCTCAAGTGGCTGAGCTGTACCTGAGCCACAGTTGGCCATGTAGGCTCCGGCTCCCACTGCACAGAGCTCAACTGCTGTGCTACGAGACAGGCCCAAAAGATACATCTTAGAAGTTCTCATTTTGGGGACCAGTAGATGACATAATGGTTGTCACTGAACTCCCATGTACTTGGTCACGGTTCGAATCTGGGACCTGGCAGCTTAAAACTCACGCTGGGCCTGTGTGCTTGTGTACCCAAGACCCAGAAAGGAAAATGGAGGAGAAGGGATTGTGGCTTGGCCAGCCACCCAGGGGGTGATTTCTGGCTTTCTGTCTCTCCAGTGAACACACATGCCCTCTAGTAAAAAAGTTTCTTTTAAAAAATGAAATTCTCATTTTGTGTGGATTTAGAGCCTCTTCTCCAATTTAGTATTTAACATAATTTACAATGAGACCCAAACAAAATATTGAAAGAAAGAGACACAGACAGACAGGGACCTGAAGAAATGGCCCAGATGGGAAATGATGATGAGGGTACAGAGCATAGTGGGAATGGAAAAATGCTATGAAAAACAACTTTGCTAAATAACTCTCCATTTTAAGTAAAATAAATACATTTTTCCTCTTAGTCCAGGTTATACTTCAACAAAAGCATTTAACCTCAACTTAAATAACAAAGTGTTACATAATTAAATAATAGTTCTAGAAAGACTGGCAACTCTGGAAAGGTAACAACCTTGTTTCATCAGAGTGACACTCAGCCAAGTTCAGGTTGGACTTCTAGGGCCCAGTATATGGCATGGTGGTTAAGGTTGCTGGACTCCCACATGGCCAACTGTGGTTCGAGTCCCAGGCCTGTCAACTTGCTTTCTCTCTTTCTCTCTCTCACTCACTCTGTCCCTCTCTGGTCAAATGAAAATAAATAAAAAATAAATAAAGTTAAATAAAATAATTCTTAAAAAAAAAAAAAAGAAAACATGTTTCTAAAATTAGATACGGGACTCATCATTTCTAACGTGAGGCATGTCGCAGGCTATGACAACCCAGAGCTTGGTGTGGCAGCTGGTCACATGGGACAAAAGAACAATGTAACCCACCTGATAGCCTTCCGTTTTCTTCTGACACCACTTCAGCAAGGCGTTCCTCTTTGATCCTCCATATTCTCTTGCCAATGCTGAGAGAGGGTCCTTCCTTTCTTCCCTAGAATAGTGAAAACAAGGAACTTGAAGTGGAAATACTGTTATTTGAGCATCAGAATAAGAGAACAGTACCGGTTTGCATTTTGGAAAAGGACAAATGCACATATTAAGGCCACCGGATGGCAAGACATACTTCTTCCTTTGCTTGTTACCTGTCGATTTTTAGCTTACGGTCCCACAGAGCCACTGCTGTCAGGGTCTCTGCTCTCTGCAGGGAGGGACCACACCGATCACTTAGAGGGACGGCGATGAAGACCACATACAAAGTGCATTAACGGTTAATGGAACACATTCCAGTGTGTTCGATTTGACCCCGGTAGCATCTGAGAGCTGTCCCGGCTGTCTTTTAGTCAATCTTATCCTTCTATACCTTTACACTTTGGTTTACTGTACTCCTTTTGGTTCCCAACTTTTTATAGCCTTAATAATCTCATCACTTTTAATCACTGAGTATAAATACACAGGGCAAGTTTATGTAAGGTGGAGGGTTCTAAGGCTCAAGTTCTGCCTGCAAGGAGCTTATAAGTGGGGAAGCACCAGATGGCACAATACTTGTGTTACTGGACTCCCAGGTAGTCAACTGCGGTTTGAGCTCCGAACCTGGTGTCTTAAAAACTCATGCTGTGCACGTGTGCATTCATGCCCCAAATCCCAAGAGGAGAATGGAAGAGAAAGATGTGGCTATCCCCTCTAGGGGTTTCTATCTCTTTGTCTCGCTCTCTCTCTCTGGCAAGTGCATGCACCCTATAGCAAAAAACAAACAAACAAAAAACTCTCCAAAAAATGTTTAAAAAGGAGGAAAGTGGATTAAAACAGGCAAAAGATGTCAATAAACATGAAAACATTATAGTTTCCATAAAATGTCTCAGATGTGTTTATTGTAAAGCTGTATACTTTTTTTTTTTTTTTGGAGAGGTTGTTTTTGCTACAGGGTGCATGCACTGGCCAGAAAGACAAAGAGGGAGACAGAGAGACAGAAAGCCAGAAATCACCCCCCAGGGGGGATGGCCACACCACAATCCCTTTTCCTCCATTCTCCTCTTGGTATCTTGGG